TACCTGGGATCTTCACGTCGATGCTACTCCAGCGCTGATGAGAGGTTGATTGGGTGCCACGTGGCACATTGTAACAAGACTTCGATATGTGTTCAAATTACTGGTTATTGTGAGGTGGCGGTCAAGGAAGGAGCCCGGAGAAGGAGTGGGCATTTTATCATCCTCTCCTTTGTCTCATCTCCCTCCTTCCTCTTCGTCTGTGTATGATTACCTCACCTCCTTCTTATTGGAAGTTATCAGCGACTTGACATTCTGGACTAGCATTGTTGACAATCGTATTCATGACTTGGGTTCATTGCACTATGTCATTTCAGCCTAAAACAAGGCCTTCCAGGCCCTGAGTCGTTTCAGCCTGAAACGGAGGGCCATTTTCAGGCCCTCGTAAGATCGACCTGCCCTGAAACTTAGGCACCAGACCAGGGTTTAGCACACAACCCATTTTTGGCCTGTTTTCAAGACAACCCTTGGTTGAACTTCAACGTCGGGTCTGGCACGTTTTGGCATTGGCAAGAGCAGCCTCCTGGACGGGCCAGCACTATATAAGACTGGCCCACCCTACAGGCTGCAGAGAGTCACGAGGTAGTTCATAGGAACTTCCCAGGCACTTCATGTGCAGGAGGCAGGAAGCAGTCTTCAACATTCGGCAGCAGCACTCTGGAGGAGCGCTGCAGTAGTAGTAGTAGCGTTAGCAGTAGTCTTCAGCGTTGGGCGCTATTAGGAGCTAGAGTAGCGTTGGAGAGAGGGAGATGGTTGGCGCAGGCCAGCTGAGACTTACCTGTGGCGCCATAGCTCCAGCTTCGTCTTCGATGTACCTGCAACAAGGCACCACCTTCACAGGTTAGTACCGGACTGACAGAGAGAGAGAGAGTTCTTCTTCTTCCTCTTCTAAGTCCACCATCTCCTCATCACCCTCTCGCTACCTGACTTCTCAGTATCTGCAGACTACGAGAGAGAGAGAGATTGATGACTTTGGGACTTATAGCATTTGGATCTAGACTCGACATTGGGATTCAGACATTTGACGAGGGATTATTTGGGACGTGTACCGAAGACTTGGTGTTGACGACATTCCCATCTTCCCTTCTTCTTTGTCTAACCCCCCTCTTCTTCGTCTGTGTATGGTTGGGGACTGGCGCATTCTTCCTGTGTGAGCGTCAGGCCCCTTCACACCATGGAATGATGATGATGTATGTTTGGGCTGCATTGCAACATTGATTGTTCGGATCATTGGTATTTAAGCCTTCCGCTACNGATGATGTATGTTTGGGCTGCATTGCAACATTGATTGTTCGGATCATTGGTATTTAAGCCTTCCGCTACGCTATCTTGTACTTTGTGAGAGAGGTCGGTTCTTGTTCTTGTCTGCACCTTCACGGTATGAGACAGTTTGGTATCGAAACGGACCTCTCAATCAGAGGACCTGCTCAATCAAGTAGCCAACTTGCTTGATCTATTGATTGTTTATTAGTAAATCAAGTAAGACTTCGTCAAATCTTTGCAAAAAAATTATCGCAACAAATATCTGAGAATTTCTGATAATAGCATTTCGTTTTTCTGAAAATTTCTGATATTAGCATTTCGTTTTCACGCAACAAGTATCTGAAAATTTCTGATAGTAGCATTTCGTTTCTCTGATGTTAGCATCCGAAAATTTCTGATATTTGCATACCTGCGTAGTATGGCGAACGTGTTCGCGCCCCTTCACGTTCGCACGAACATGTTAGCTCGCGGACATGTTCGGGCGAACATATTTTTTTTTCCGTAAAAAAAAAGAAAAACAATTATTTTGTTTTTAGTTTTTGATTTTTAACTCATGATTGGCTACGAATTTGAACATGACTCCAAGGCAAAAGTTACTTGTATTGTCATTTTACATAACATATATTTTCTTCAGATTTTTTTGAGAACGTTTTTTTTTTTTTTTTTTAATATGTTTTTATGTTCGCCTTCGGAGGGTTTTGGGCGCTTGTTCGCTTTCGGGCGAACATGTTCGCGTACGCGAACATGGTGCTACGTAGTTGCATACATAGCCGAAAATTTCTGATGTTAGCATTTCGTTTTCTAGGCATATTAGGATAACGATTGAGGTTGTCATATTCTCGGAGACTGGAATTATTCTTCTCTGAAAGTGGAACCTCCACTCTATTTAGCGCAAATTCTTTTCCAAGATCGCATTTTTTTGCGTGCCGAAACTTTGCGGAACCTTGCCTATATCTCGCTCATAGTACTCCTCTGAAAGGCCTCACTCATAGCAGATCGACAGATATACAAAAAAAAAAAGAAGGGGGGGGATGATCCTCTTCTTTTATTTTTATCTTTATTTTTCTGTTGATTAGGCGGACAGATATACCTACCTGCGTTTTTCCTACCACCCAACCCTTTGCCTGCATTCCCGGTTTGGTACAGTGCCACGTCAGCAGTGCCACATCAGCAGTGCCACATCAGCAGTGCCACGCCAGCACTGCCACATCAGCAGTGCCATGTCAGCAACAGTGCCACGTTAGCAGTGCCATGTCACCAACAGTGCCATGTCGGCAGTGCCACGTCAGCAGTGCCCCGCCACCATGACGGTCTCAGTTCTGGGCATGCCAGGCCAATTGGCCAATGAGTCCATCGTCGAGTACCGACAGCCGTTCCTGGCTCAGATCGCACTGGGTGAGGCTGAGGAACAACGTCAGGCGGCAGCCGAGGCTGCCCGCCTACAGGCTGAAGCGGCGGCTGCAGCTGAAAAGCAGCAACTTCAGGCCGAAGCAGATGCAGATACCCAGGCACGCCGCAAGGAGGCCCAGGATCTGCTACAACGGCACGGAGCTGCGAGCATCGAAAAGCTCAAGTTCTGGCATTTTGAACCATCCGAGCACCACGAAGACTCGACACTGGAAGAGCAGCATAAGGATTTTCTTGCCAAACTCGTGACCCGGTTGGTTTACACTTGTAACCACCTGCAGTCCGAGCTGGCGAATCTCCAACGGGCGGCGCGAAACCACAAGGATTTGCACGGGGATGCTACACGGGCACTTGATTCCCGTGTACAGGACTTGGAGCAAGTTGCACCAAGACCAGATGCTGGCGAGTCCAACAGTGCACCCTCTACCCGCCAATTGGAGGAACGAGTTGACCACGTAGTCGCAATGCTCGGTGACATCAGCACCTTCGCTGCACCAGCCACCATCAGCAAGCAGCTGGACACCTTGAAGACCGAGGTTCAGCAACTGCACCAGCTGCCCAACAAGGATGGCAACACCAGTGCGCAGCAAGCACTACAAGATGTCGACGTTCCGCATCGAAAAGTTCGATGATTATACGCATCAAGACCCGGTCCCCTGGTGGGAGGGCGTTACGACGGAACTTGTCCCCGAGCACTCGTACATCGGCGCGCTATTCCTCAACTCAAAGGGCGGAAGCCAGATCTGGCTCAGCCACTTGGCAACCATCCACGATGTCCAAGTCGCTGATCTACATAAGAAGATCTCTTGGGACGAGTTGACGAAGCTATGGAAAAAGGGGTTCATTGTGGACGACGCCCCAGCGCTTGCCATCAACCGCCTCTTCAGCATGACTCAAGGCAACACACCAACACGTGACTGGCTCACGGAATGGCAAAAGATCGTGGCAACGCCCGATGTTGAGTTGCCATTTTCGCATCTGCGCCGAGAGTTCTACAACCGGTCATGTGCCGCCTTGAGCCTCGCACTTGGTGATCGCGAGCAATACACGACCTTCGCCGAAATCATCGAGAAGGCAAGGGAGATCATCAAGACCAACAGGGTAGTTGCACACGAGAAGTCAGCATGGCAGACAACCTATGTGGAGAAAGGAAAATTTGGTCCGCATCCGCAGCATGTCGCTGCAGTCCAACCGGACAACATTGTGGAAGACCCGACAACCACCCAAGCATCACGTGAGGGAGATCATGTGGCCGCTGTCCAGCCGCGAAACAACAACAACTCCCGAGGAAAAGGGAAGGCGAAAACCGCATCGCCGGTCGGAAACGGACAACCAGCACCATACAAGTGGCGCAGCCGGTATGGCTGCTGCTATTGGTGCAACAGCACCAAGCACAAGACCTCCCTATGCCCGGATCAAGGCAAGGAGGATGTTCGGCCTCGCATCAACTCGAGAAACCGAGTTGCGCGGGAGGTGAGGCGACTCCACCTCTCACTCCGCCAGATTCGGCCGCCTTGCTAACGGTCTCCTACACATCTGGGGAGGATGCGAATGTTGCGAGTCCTCGGTTGACTTACGATTATGCTGTCCACTTGGTCCAACTACGATTATGCTGTCCACTTGGTCCCACCGTTGGACCAACCACTCCACGTGCAACAATCCACCGCATGCATGGTTTCACCACCATCGGCAACCGATTCGGCAGCTTCGCCGCCATCTATCATCGTGGATTCGACGCCATGGTCAATACTTGAAGAGCTCGACCCGTTGACATTTGCAGACTTCCAATGGATGCCCCTTCCCCCGTCCGGTCGATTGCCGAAACTGCATTGCAACGTGCTCATGGCACAATGCAGTACCAGCTCCGTTGATGGACGCCGGAGTAGAGGTTGTCGACCTTCACGACTACGTTGTGAAGATTGACCGCGAGTTCAAGACGCAACGGTACGCGCCATTGTTATACATACGCATTCAAATCGGAGAGGCGACCTGCAACGCTTTGATCGATTGCGGAGCTACTCGCAACTACATGAGCCAAGACTTTATGGTACGCGTTGGCCTTGGGCCACGCGTTCAGAGGAAGTCACAACGCACGCAAGTCACGTTGGTCGATGGTCACACGCACAAGTCAATCGACCGGTGCATTGATGCTGTCCCCGTGTACTTTGCCCCGCATGCAAGCGAGGCCGTGTCCTTCGATATTTTGGACACCAAGTTCGACATGATCTTGGGCATGTCATGGCTGCGAAGCGAGGATCACCAGGTGAAATTCTACCGCTGCACCGTTCACGTTCGTGATCGGAACGGAGTACTAGTCCCATGCACGGTGCCTCCTCCTCACCCTTCGATCAGCTGCCACGTGGTGTCCGTCGCAAGCATTCGAGGTTCCATCACGAGGGATGGCATCGAGGAGATGGGGGTGTGTTTTCTCGACACCCTCCCTTCCCATGACATTCCATCAACGGACTCATCACCGGACCCACGCATCACCGATCTTCTCGATGCCTACGGCGATGTGTTCGAAGCCCCACACGGAGTAGTACCGGATTGGCCCATCCGCCACGAGATCATCCTCGAGGCCGGGGTCGTACCTCCGCGTGGTTGCATCTCCCACATGAGCGAGGAAGAGTTAAGTCTGCTACAGGCACAACTCAAACGAGGCCGGGGCCGTACCTCCGCGTGGTTGCATCTACCGCATGAGCGAGGAAGAGTTAAGTCTGCTACAGGCACAACTCAACGACCTTCCTGAAAACGGTTGGATTCGGCCTAGCTCCTCGCCATACGGTGCTCCCATTCTCTTCGTCCGGAAGAAGAACAAGGACTTGCGGTTGTGCATTGATTATCGCATGCTCAACGAGCAAACCGTCAAGAACGCCGGCCCTCTCCCGCGCATCGACGACCTCCTCGAACGGTTGGGCGGCACCAAGTTCTTCTCCAAGCTTGACCTCAAATTGGGATATCACCAACTCAAGATCCGGCAGGAGGACCGCTACAAGACCGCGTTTAAGACGCGATATGGGCACTTCGAATAGATGGTTATGCCTTTTGGCCTTACGAATGCCCCAACCACATTCCAAGCTGCTATGACAACGGAGTTCCAACACACGCTGGATAGATTTGTACTCATCTACCTCGATGACTTCTTGGTGTACAGCCAGAGTTTGGACGAGCATGTGGAGCATTTGCGCATCGTTTTGGAGCGGCTATGACAAGCCAAGTACAAAGACAACCACGACAAATGAGTATTTGGGACATTATGTGACGTCGCAAGGCATCCGTCCGCTTGCGGACAAGATCGAGGCCATCCGCGTATGGCCTGAGCCCAACAACACCACAAACGTTCGCTCATTCATGGGGTTGGCAGGCTACTATCAACACTTCATCACCGGGTACTCAAGGTTTGCCGCACCTATGACGAGATCACCTATGACGAGATTACAATCACCAAAGGTGCCATTCGTATTCGATGACGACGCACGTCGGTCATTCCAAGCACTCAAGACGGCCATGCTCATGGCTCCCGTCCTTAGCATCTATGACCCCACCCTGCCAACGAGAGTGACAACTGACGCTTTCGGCTATGGCATTGGGGCAGTCTTGGAGCAACACGACGGCGACGACTGGCACGCCGTGGAGTATTTTAGCCACAAAGTGCCTCACATCAGTTCACTTGATGATGCAAGGAAGAAGGAGCTGCTCGCGTTCGTGATGGCTCTCGAGCGATGGCGGCACTTCCTCCTTGGGCGTCGTAGGTTCACATGGGTCACGGACAACAACCCGTTGACCTACTACAAGACGTAGGATACGATGAGCAGCACGATCGGACGATGGATGTACTTCATCGACCAATTTGACTTAACACCGAAACGTCTCGCTGGCCTCTCCAATTGCGCAGCAGATGCACTCTCGCGAAGACCCGATCTTTGCGCTATGACACATCATGCCTTCGCGTTCGACGAGGAACTCCAGCGACACTTCATCCGGGGCTATGAGTGCGATCCGGATTTTGCCACGTTGTATGCGCAGCTATCTTCGGAGCACCCGTCGGCCAGCCACTATTGCATCGTCGACGGGTACTTGCTCCTCCACTCGTGAGGCAAGGACTTATTATGTGTCCCACGAGACCATCGTCTTCAGACTCGCCTTCTCGACGAGTACTATGACTCACGACTCGCCGGCCATTTCGGAGTCAATCGCACTATTGCACGACTTGGGCAACGATTTCGATGGCCCGACCTCATTACCGATGTCACTCGGTATTGCGACTCTTGCGAAGTTTGCCGACGAAGCAAGCTCCACAACCGCAATCTGTACGGCGAGTTGCGCCCGATGCTTATCCCACGGGAACCCGGCCTCTCCATTGCCATGGATGTTACTGGACCGTTTCCCCGCGACCGCCTCGGGCACGACGACATCCTCGCGGTCGTTGACCGTTTGAGTAAGTATGCGCGGTTTCTCCCTTGCAAGTACTACGCCATGACTCCGAACTTGCGAGCCTCTTGCACACCGGCTGGATTTGGAGCCACGGAGTACCGGAAGACATCGTCAGCGACCGCGACACTCGCTTCATGTCGGCATTTTGGACTTCTCTCATGCAGGAATCCGGCACGAAGATGAAACCAAGTTTGGCTCGGCATCCACAAACGGACGGGCAAACGGAGCGGGCACATCAAACCGCTCAAATGACGCTTCGTACGCTCATCCGTCCGGATCAGAAAGATTGGGTTGACTGCCTCACCAACATCGAGTTCGCCTACAACACTTCGTTGCATCCGGCGTTCGGCGTGACTCCATTCGAGTTGCACCACGGTGGCCGGAAAGGCCGTATCTTCGCTGATCTTCTCCTCCCATGAACAGCCGACATAGACGCTGCTTGCTCCCCGGCTTTCGTTCGAAAGTACAGGGAATTGTTGGCTCAAGCTCGCGCAAACATGCAAAAGGCTCAAGTTCGCATGTAGCAGCAAGCCAACAAGCGTCGCGTGCCATGTCCCATCCGCGTTGGTGATCTGGTTTGGCTCTGCGCGGAAGAGTTTGCACTCGAGCAGGATGTTTCGCGCAAACTACTCCCCAAGTGGTATGGTTCATGACCCATAACATTAGCCGCGGGCGATGAGCCCGATGGCCCCTCATTTGTGATCAACATCCCCCCGCATCTGACGGTCCATCCAATCTTTGACGCCTCTTCTTTGTCTAACCCCCCTCTTCTTCGTCCAAGTGGTTTGGACCATGACCCATAACATCAGCCGCGGGCGATGAGACCTCTACCGAAGACTTGGTGTTGATGACATTCCCATCTTCCCTTCTTCTTTGTCCAACCCCCCTCTTCTTCGTCTGTGTATGGTTGGGGACTGGCACATTCTTCCTGTGTGAGCGCCAGGCCCCTTCACACCATGGAATGATGATGATGTATGTTTGGGCTGCATTGCAACATTGATTGTTCGGATCATTGGTATTTAAGCCTTCCGCTACGCTATCTTGTACTTTGTGAGAGAGGTTGGTTCTTGTTCTGGTCTGCACCTTCACGGTATGCGACAGTCAGTGGTGTCCTGTTGAAGTCCAATTGCGAACTCTCAATCTCACTGCTGTAGAACGCACAGACAAGTCCTTATCTAGGTACAACCAAATGGATGCCTAGTACCTACTGGTCTCCAGGCAGAGAGCAACACAATAGCAGGCATAGTAGTCAATTTTCTAATGGCAGGAGGTCCTTTGCGTGTGTTGTACTGCTCTACTACCAAGGAGGCAAAGAGCTATCAAAGATCAAAACCACATATCATAGAAATTTACGGACTTGAAACGAAAATGTCTTGCAAGCTGTCATCCATCCATAATAACATCAAGCCATCACTTCAATAAACTCTATTGGGTTTTTTCCTTCTCCTTGTTCTGGAATACGCTCATATTTTCCACAAGCACATCTTCCACTCTTTATAGGTCCAAATATTTTTTCACAAAACAATCCATTCGTTCTCTTTCTTGCTATAACTTCCACTGCTAGTAATCTGCTAATGCACTAGATGTGCTCGTCCATATACTCACTCCCCCGCTTTATGAACCCTATGGGCTGTTGCTTTGTGCCTTGCCCTCCCACCCAAAAACCAACTACGAGCTTTTTAATTGCAACAACTTAAATATACGCTATTGGAGCTGGAATGACCGCGGTTGTTGGCACCAAACTTGCCCTCCAATTGATGCTCGTTCAAGGAGTTTACGACTGTTCTCATTCCAATTACCGCTCCACACACGGCCGCATCCCCGCTCAACTCCATACAAGGGCCAATGAAGATGTAATCTCCACAAAAAAGACTCTACGACGCTCTTGCGAGAATGACGCACTCCCTCGCGCCAATGCCGCAAAGCCGCTCCGTCGAATTCCACACCACCCACTAAACACACTTGCATGCAAAGAGTTGTGCAGTGCGGAATGATTATGCGTGTTTCGTCCCATCGGACTCATCAGTGGCCAGACACACCCAAAAGTAAGCGACGCGGTCTCACCGATGGCAATAGGCACCTGGAGGTTTTCGGCGAAACATCGGAATTTGGATAATCACATATAAATTATCACAAAAGGTGACTTCGGGCCCCGATCAAACAACTATTGACGGTACCTTAGTTGAAAAGCTTTTGAAGTTTCGAGACGCGATAGTCAAAGGAGAATTTGAATGTGGGGCAACTCGTATTCCGCCAAAACCTGGGAAGAACGAAAAGAGTCAACTGGGAGTATCATCATGCTTCCATGAATGTACAAAGGCCACAAAGTGGGAGAGGCATGATTCAAACCTACTTAGAAATGTAACCTTCAACAGATTTATAGTCTGTCGCTTTTAACCACTCGGCCACTCTCTCGAAGAATTCATCATCCTACATGATTTGAACCTGTGTGGAATAGTAAGGAAGAGCAGAAGGAGAGGCTAGTCGAATTATTAGATAGTAGGTTGTAGACTAGGGTGGCCACTGTGCTTTCTTTTCGACTTGTGTGTACCATCCTTGGCACCTTGATCTTCCTCTTCAACTACTTCGATCACAATAAAAGATTAGTGCCACTCCTAAAAGATTAGTGCCAGCCAGGGGAGTTACTACATCAGGCTACCAACAGCCTATGCCAGTCTTCACCTAGTGTTGAGTTGTGATACTAGTTCAACCATGATGCAAAACTCAAGTTTGAGGCCATGGATCACAACACAAATAGAATAGAGAGAAGAAGGAATGAGAAAAGAGAGAAGAGAGAGACAAAGGAATGAAAAAAGTGAAAGGATTCACGCGGTAAACACCCAGTCCCGGTGTCGGGACCGGTGGGTCCCGAATAACATCCCGTCACTCGAGAGACTGTTTATAGCCAAATTGTGCACGACAGAGAAGTAAGGAGGAGAGAGAGAGAAAAGACAAGGGTCTAGGCCATCGGAAGGAATGAGGCCCCGGGTTGAGAACCGTCGGGGGAAAGGACCAGCGACGGCAAGCAAGTTAGCGTGAGGACAGGGGCATATAGAAACATAGCATGAGGCCAGGAGGGCCGTTGGAGTTCCGCAAGACTAAGGCCAAGGGGCCATTGATCGACGAACACGGCACGACAGTGACAAAAGAACGAGGAAGCCGAGAGGTGGACAGCCCTGAGGCCGCGGGACACTAGAGAATAAGGGCCCAACATGGGGGCCACCTACGACAATTAACGGGAACCTCGGGTTGGAGGTCCCGCAACCAAAGAAAAATAGCGCACGCAAGGCCCAAGGAAAAGCAAGAGAGAGGGGCCACCATAGGGCGGCAAACGCCCAAGGAACGTTGGACACCTTGGGAAAGGCACCAGGGGCCATGTGGGACTAAGTAAAGATAATGGTATCCGAGACAAAATGTGTCGGGGACCACCGGCGGGACTAAGTGTCGGGGACCATTGGCGGGACTAAGTGTCGGGGACCACCGGCGGGACTAAGTGTCGGGGATAACCAGCGGGACTAAGTGTCGGGGACCACCACCGGGACTAAGTGTTGGGGACCACCGGCGGGACTAAGTGTAGGGGACTACCGACGGGACAAGTGGCGGGACGCGTGAAGGTCTCAAGAAGAAACGACGGCACCACATGTGGGGAAAATAATTAAGACAAGGTGCACCGTTAAGATCAAGATCTTGACGGCCAAGAATATCAGCACCGCTAGTGCAAGCAGTAGCGGTAGCAAACGGGAAGGCCAAAAGGAAAAAAAAAAGTAAAGAAACTTGAAGTGGGAGGCATGGGAGCAATCCGAAAAATCTCGGACCAGCCTCCCTCAAGAAAATGGAGCTATTAGAGACCCCATGAGAAATAGGCCTCCGGGAGAAAATCGGAGTAGGAGGGGTCACTATGGGAAAAGAATAGAGGGAAAGGGAAACCCCCATGAGCATGAGAAGACTATTATTGCAGTCCGAGATACAACGGACTGCACCTTGGGCATAGGAAAGGCCAAAACTAAGAGGAAGGGCCTATAAAAGGGCCTTAACGGCCACTTGACACTTGGCATGCTAAGAAAAAATAAAGAAAAGAAAAGAAATGTGGGAGAACAAGACAAAAAGAGTGAGAGGGAGTGAGTGAGTTGGTCGTCCGTAGGGACTGCCACAAGTAGGGACTAGCAGGTCCCTATTGTCCAAGAAAGGAGGAAAAAGAAAAGAAGAGAAATAGGAAAAAAAAAAAAAAGAGAAAAAACCCTTAACGGTAAAAAACGGTCACTTGGGGAGATGCATCCGTGACCAGATTCATTCTTGAATATGGCGGTTGCAATCGACTTTGATTTTCTTTTATTTTTGCAGAGAAAATCAAAGAAAATCAAGGTCCCATGCAACCGAAAAATAACGGATTACATGGGGAAGGAGAAACACATGTTTTAGGTGCATCCGGAACCAG